GCAAAATAAATGTTTGGAAATGTAAACTGATATTTCCTACTGACACACTACAGCAAAAGTTGGAAATAACTGACTTAAAACCATCTTTTAGCTGGTGTGTATATATATATATAATCATGACAACTCTCTGAAGATTTTAGCATGGTGATGGATATGACAATGTTAATGTATTTGGTCTCGGTGGAATAGATCTGCTACGCTGCTGCTGAATTGCTGCTGCTGTTGGTTATTGCTGTAGTTGTAGATTATTGCTGCTGCTGCAAGCAAGTACAGGAACTTGCTACTGCCAATGCATATGGCGATACGGTGCCGTGAGTATTTAAGACATGCTGCTGCTGCACAAATAGCATATAAAATAACCCCGTAGCAGATCTATACAGGTGGAGCTGGGGAAGGTGGAGGGTTTCAGAGAACTCTGAAAGCGCGCTGCAGGAATCTCAAGTGAATGCTAGCCAGCCATATAAATGCAAGGCAGTAAGCTCATTGGCTGCATATGCAGCATGAACCAATCAGCTTGTGCCAAGTCGTTTAACTCTCTGAATATCATCAGTTACATTAACACCCCGTCAGAATGCGCCATCTAGAGTTTCATGACTGAACTATATATATTTTTGTTAATATCTTGAATGTTTTCTTTTTTCTTTTTTTTTTAATTTAAAAAAAATCACTTTTAATTAATTTTTTTGCAATTTTCTTAGATTTTTTAAAAATACGTCTTTGTATTTTTTTTGTTTTAGTTATTTACATTTAATTATTTTTTATAAAAAAATGCATATTGTTGCATATATAAATAAAATATATTTGCTTCATATTTTCAACTCTAAAATGTGTAAACAAACTGAGAAATGTATTTTAACTGTAATTTTAACTCTCAGCTAATAATTCTCTCTCTAAAGAACAGTTGTGATTTCTTTAAAACATGTAGTTAAGTAATAGGATGACCTCTGTTGTGCTCATGAAATCATATTTAATTACGTGGCGAAGGGCGAGGTGCTATCAGACTCTGATTATTAATGACAAAATAACCTTATAAAATTCATACACTACATGGTTGAATACAGTACATAGTGCATAAGTACATAGTGTATAAGTGCATAGCGCGTCATTTGGGATGCAGTTATTGTTTTATCATCAAAACACGCTTTATTAAATTACTTTTTGCAAAAAAAAAAAATGGTATAACTTTAAAGCTATTTGCTAATAAATCAAATCAAGGTATGCAGTGTGTATGTGTAAGGCGTGTGTGTCTCCTTGAGCAGTGTTGCTAAGGAAGCGTAATGCTCGTGCAGTGTGATGTTTGGCATGCTCAGTCAGCGGTTGCCATGAGTGGGCCGGCTATGCATGCGGAGGGTAACGGTGGCCCGATCCTGGGGGTATTCTTTAATAAGCCTCTGTAATTAGCCACTCTGAGCGCCTATTGATCGCTGTTGGCTGAGAAGTGTGGAGCTGTGATCAGCCAGACATGGGCAGGATTAGGCCATGAGGAGCGGAGTATCTGAGAGTGGTCTTAAGACATGTCTCCTTAATAGTGCTTTTAAAGGATTTAGCCTCTCTCTGTAGACTGGCATTAGGCTGCATTATTGAGCTCTCCAAATGCATGCTGTTGTTTGCTGCTGATTTTTAGCGTTAAGTGCCGAGGAGTCAGACAGAAGGTTACGAATATGTTTTCATGTCGCTAATTTACTTGGTGTGTGATTATGTGTATGAAACTTTAAGGCATGGGCATCAGATGTTGTGGTCTTCTGAAACGAGTCTTACCACTGCCTCGAGTCTAAATTCTTCAGCTCTCTCAAGAGCTTAGAGTTCTTCTTTAGAAGATGAAAGCTTTTTCTATGAAGAGAAATAGAAATGGAACACTCATGAAAACCAGAAAAAACTTTCCAAAAGAGAAATGCTGAGACACAGGCAAAATCCCTCATATTGTAAATTTTTTTTTTTACCAATGTTAAAATATTTTCTTCTATTCCAGGTTCAACCAAAGTATAACCAAGTACTGTAAGCAATCTGTAGGCTTACTTCTCTGAAGATCGTAAACACTGTGACACCACAGCATTATAACATTGCGTGTGATTAAAAATTGAAATTCCATAAAAAAATAAAACAAAAAATATGTAGAACCCATGCAATTATATTTAAACATTTTGTGGCATGTTCATATATTCTGATTTGCAAAGAGGTTCTCAAGTAAAAAAGGGAAAATTTGTGTAACGTCCAAGCTGCTCTTTTCCATTCAGAACAAAAAAAGGCACCATAAAAGTAGATTTATGGAAAGCATATTATTTAACCATTGCTTGAACTGTCAGAGCTCTTCCTCTCTCAAACATAACTATAGTAATTTAAGTATATAATCCAAAAATCATTAAAAAAATTAACACAGACATGCAACTTTAATGTGAATAATGTAAAAACAAGGATCAGTGGAGAGAGGCCCATTCTGTAAATGGAACATTTCTGACAAAAATCACTTGATAGGTTCAACAAACAAATCATGTCAGGGCATAACATGATTTTATCGTAATCTTTGTCTTAATTCATTGTTTAATTTAATGAAACACACTTTAATTATGTGGAAAGACAACAATGGCAAAAACAAAAGATGTGGGATTTTAGAAAGTGTCCACTTGTCCTCAAGCTTACCCCATCAAAGAGAAGGAAATCAACCTGTTTAACAATTATAAATATTTGAGAGACTGTTGTTCGTGATTATTTACATATTAAAGGAACACAGATATTATTTGTTTGGCTCAAAATTGATCTACAGAAGATGCTTGTAGAAAAACTAGGTTTTATAGAGTTTTATTGATTTTTGAGTCGTTGTAATAAAAAAAAAAAGTCAAACTATCAGATGAAACAAGCAGAGGTAGTATCTATCTACAAGAAGAAATGTTTCTGGAGCAGAAATTCAGAATTATTAGAATTATTTGTAATATAGTAAGTAAAAGCTGGTGAAATTTCAGCTTAAGGAATACATTATTCCCACAATTTTTACTATACTTTTGTTTTAAATATTCAAATAGAAAACAGTTATTTGGTATTGTAATAATATTTCACAATACTGCCATTTTTTACTGTACCACTACACTGTACTTTTACTGTTGTACTATTATGATTAAATAAATGCAGCCTTTCAATATGTATATTAGTAGCTATGTGACTGTGATTGTAGTCATGTTAAAATCAAAATGCATGATTTACCTATTTATGTTACCTTTCTATAAAACAACATTTCAGATATTCACAGAAAGTCGTCTTCTCCACCATAGCTCTCAAATCTCATTCACACACATTCACATTTTGCTTTAGGAATGGTCTCAAGTCTCGTAAGAACCAATGTGTAATGATGTGGAAAAGAGCAGCTTTGCAATTGGGTGACTGCATTTTCATCTTGGGATGTGCTATTCATTTAAGAATGTTTTCCAGTAATTCTCATGAAATACTGTACCTGCGATCCCATGAGTTCATGCCGAGGTCGTTGAGGAGAAGTCTGCAGAGGTAAAAAGCAGATTTAGGCTCGTGGTGCGTGGGCTCTCTCTGTCTCTCTGCTCTGATGCTGGGGTCTTCGGTCTGTCGCCGGGCCAGCTCCTCGTCCTCCTGCTTGGCCTGTCTGTGGATGGCATCCATGATGAGCCCTTCCATCTCAGGGTTCATGCCGATGGGTGGAGAGGGCGGCTGGGTGAGCCTCAGCTGGGGCTGTGGCAGGCACTCTGGGCTGCTGTGGCCAAGGTCTTCCAGTAGCTGGTCCAACACATCCACGCCATCTTCCACTTCCAGCTCAGAGGAGCATTTACTGGAGCGCACAGAGCCCTGCTTTTCAGAGCGAGCGCCGTCGTGAGACGACTGATCTCTGCTGCCACCCAAACTCAAGCCAGTTCCGTCCAAAGTGCGGAACAGAACACCGCCGTCCCACGAGTACTTTCCCGAGATGTCCCTGATGATGACGCGGACCGCAGAAGAATGATCCCTCGGGTTGGCCGTGCTGGAACTGTCAGAGGGGATCTGCAGGTATGAAACTAGTGTGCTGTCACTGAAGACGAAGAGCTGCAGATTGGGGCTTTTGAAGACTTCAGAGGAGAGCTCGGAGGACTCTACGTAGGGGTTGTCGTGGTTCTCACTGACCAGGCTGTTTAAGAGAGCGGGGCCGCCGCTGAGAGGATGGTGGCCCAAATGATTGACCAGGTGTGTCATTACCATCCGAGCGGTCAGAGGAATCAGCTCTAGGCTTCTCCTTTTCTTTTCTGGGATACGAAACAACACAAGTTCAGTCAATTAGAAAACATACAGCTTGCAGGTATACACAAAGGATTAGTTCACCCAAAAAAAAATCACAATTCCAGGGGTTAAAGCCGGGAGTGGGACGGGGGGCAGCATGCAATGACTGTGGCAACTTTGGGGGAAGTCGTGGCCTAATGGTTAGAGAGTCGGACTCGTAACCCAAAGGTTGCGGGTTCGAGTTGAGCTGAAGAATGAAAGCTATATCATACACTTGGAAAATTATGAGCTATATCACCGCTTATCAACACTAGGGGTGTGACAATAAACTTAGCTCATGAGATGAGACAAAACACAGAAACTTGGTTCACTAGAACAAGAAATTAAGAAATTTTCAATGACAAAATATTTGTCTTTTAATAACAAAAAGTAAAACAATGCAGTTGTATTTTGAAATATTTTAACTAATCTAGGGCTGTAAATAATGATTATTTTGGTAATTGAGTAATCTGATATTTTTTAGTAACACAAATAGACCTAAGTGAAAACCAGGCTTTAGTTGGACTATTTATATATAAACTAACGGAGGCAATAATAATGGGCTCAAATAAAATATCAAAACCAAGTAATTACATGGTTTTATTGAACAACACTGTTAAAATACATAATGTAATATGCCTATGCATAATATGAACACAACCAACTTAAGTACATTATGTATTATAACAAATACCTGCAGAGGGCGCCAACGGCCTGGTGACGTTTCACTTTACAGCGTGATTAAACGATGTTTAAAACCATTAAATTTGAATATTTGCCCACATGCAAACTCAGAATCTTTTATTTTGAAATTGCGATGTACAATAAATGGCATATTTAGAAATAGATTGATTTATTCTCCTGTGTTGGCAAAGGTTTATAAATGATTTACGTTACAAATCTAGTGAGATAATGCACACTGTTTTTCCAGATGAACGTTAAGCAATTCAAATTCACAGCATATACAGAGGAAGAGTTTAGCCCCTTTCACACATACGGTCTTTACTGGTAAATTACCATTAAGAGACCTTTTCAAAAATCCCGGTAAATTTGTTCATATCGTTCTTATGGAGATGACATGAATACTCCGAGCAGTTTTCAAAGCTCCGCCGCTTTTTAATAAATTTTTATATGTAAATGTGCGCTAGATGGACATCTTTGACCATTGCGCCTCACAGCTTTTTCAACGTGTCGCGCTTCTCCATTCATCAGGGCTGCGACTCTGCAATTGGATACTATAGGTGCGTTCACGCCATATCGGAATTCCCGTAATTACAATATTCCAACTTGTAAAAAGCTCCGTGAACAGCTCCGAGTAGAACGTCACGTGTTGTCATCTCAAAATTACGGTAATTACGATATGGCGTGAACGCAGTATATTATGCGCATCTCGTGTTTATAAAAGCAAAACATTCTGATTGGCTAGTAATGTTAGTTTGGTTGAGAGTGAAAGCTGTGCTCTTCTCATACCATTGGTAGGCAAACTCAATGACTCGAAAGGGATATCAACAAGTTTTTTTAAATGTAGGATTATTTTTTTCCGCAGCCAAACGCTGCACGCCGGAGATCCGGTGTAGTGCCGAATTCAGACCCCCGCCAGATTATTACGCCCCTAGTATTGGTAGGTTTAGGGTTAGGATTAGGGGTGGGGTTATGATTAGGCAATCAGGTAGCGATTTCAACGAGGGGGGTAATAATTTGGCAGGGAGTCGAAAATGGGCACAACACCGGCATGGTGCCGGAGAACTTTAAGCCCTGCAATTCTGTCATCAATTTATTTAATCTCTTTATTTATTTTAAAAGGGACAAAGTACAGAAATTAACATTCAAATAAACACAAATGTATCTGAGAAATGTAGGGTAAAAAAGAAAAAAAAAATTAGAGAAAGAGAGAGAACGAATAAGGGTACAATACAGAAAAGAACCCATGCAGCTCAATTAAATACAAATACGCTGCACATAATACACAAATATAATAAAAGTTTCATATTAATATAGTCTTGTTATGGATGTAGAAAACAACTGACTATAAAGAAGCCAATTGCTTAAATTCTATTTAAATTGGTAATAGGATGTACATTCTGTATGTATAATTACTCTCATGTCATTACAAATCAGACATTGGTTCATCTTCAAAACACAAATTCATATCTGTGAAGGAGTGATGGATTTATGGAGTTCCTCCATTAAAAGTTAATGTAACCAAAACTTTGATGGTTTACAAAAGTCAAACATTGTACTGTAAACATAATCCATTTGAATGGAAGAGTTTAATCTAAGCCTTCTGAAGAGACACAATAGTTTTATATGAAAAACATAGGCTTTTATTCACATATAAACATTGATCGATGCACATACATACAACACATGAAATTTGGTAAACAGAAGCTCAACCATACTTGCTTGATGAGCGAGAACAAACCTAATTGGTTCTTGTGCGTCAATCAATGAGCTTCTGTTGACCATATATGATGTGCTCTATGTATGTGTCTGTTCATCATATAAATTGATCGTGTCTCTTCAGAATATTTGGATTAAACTGCTCGATTCATAAGGATTACTTTTACAATCTCTTTGTGAACTTTTTGAAGCATCAAAATTTAGAGGAACAGAAAACTCTCAGGTTTCATTAAAAGTATATTCATTTGTGTTTCCAAGGTGAACCAAAGTCTTATTTGGAGCATCATAAGTGTAAATGATGACATACATCTCATTTCTGGATGAACTATGCTTTTAAATATAAACTAATTAAGTTTGTATTGCCTCATCACAGTTTTGTAGAAATCTGCCCATTACCCAGTTATATTACACCACTCTGCGGGATATGTGATTCTGATAGGTCAGTTGTGGTATTCTGTGGGTCCACCGTTTTCACTCGTGACAGACCAATATGTCGCCTAGGCCAATTAGAGGGCCAATATTTGGTTTGCTATAATTTGGCTGTTTCAATGTCATACAACCCTCTACATTGCGACTAAATCTTCACTCTGGGCGACTAAATTATGTCTAATATTAGCCAATTGCTAATAAATTCTCAGATTTTACTCGCCAGTGTGTGAGTTGGAGGCTAAGTATAAGTATAGCACAGATATATTTTCACTCGCCGAACACTCTCTGACTGAGCGCTTCAGAGTTTCACTCTCCGCCAAGCGATCTGTGCTGTTTTTCAGTTCATC